TTATGCTGAGATAAGCTTAGATTAAAGATGTGTTTCAGAATAGGTACAAATATATCAGTACAACCCTTAATAATGAATCCAGGGATGTCATCGACTCCAACAGACTTAGATGGTCTCAGGCGCTTAATAGCTTTAATAACATCGGAATCTGAAACAGACGCTAAAGGTAAGAATTCGGAAGATGACAATAGGTTGGGGAAGACAATAGGACCAGGATTGTGGTACACTGTTTGAAAATGTTTTTAAAATTCATCAGCAATGTCATGAGGTTCGATTAAATGCTTACCATCAACCTCAAGCTGGATGGAATTTGAAATAATAATAATACATAAGAACAACTAAATTCCTTGTCCTATAAATTCACACAACTAAAACTGGGGGGATGGGACAAAAACCACTGAATATATTCTCACCAAACCACTGTTTCCCAAATCGTGTTCCAAACTTCTGTGAAGTGAAAATAATGAGTTACAGAAGGCAATTCCATTACAATACAAATGATAATAATAATAATAATTTATTATTATTATCATCATCATCTCTTGTCACAGGTTTATTTCCTGGTTACAATATTATATTTGAGCATCCTGTTACACTCACACAATATATATGAGACAAACACCGTCTTAAGTGTAACAATTTAATTGTAGTTGTTTTTTCTTTCCCTCCTCCACACTACATGTTTCGGCCCTAAATGGCCATCATCAGGTGTGTATTCTTATGTAGCTGTTACACTGCCTGTTAAAATTTAAAATCACCAGTCTTTCTAATTGTATAAAATCTTTTGTTCACCTACACGCGTTAATTTGATTTCTAAATTTAGCACTTTTTTAAAACTTTAATTCAAGTTAAAATGTCTATAAGAGTTTTGTTCTTTTTCTTTTTCAAATTTTGAAATTAAAATTTTCTCAGGGTACATGCCCTATGTCCATAGTGCTGCAGCGGCCACTTCTTCTTTTATCGCTGTTCAGGTATTGTTCTGTGTAGGCTCTCTCTGTGTGTGTCGCTGCTTATCTTTAATACGTGTGCTGTCTGGTGTATTGTGTACTGTGTGTCTTATAGACATTTTAACTTGAATTAAAGTTTTAAAAAAGTGCTAAATTTAGAAATCAAATTAACGCGTGTAGGTTAACAAAAGATTTTATACAATTAGAAAGACTGGTGATTTTAAATTTTAACAGGCAGTGTAACAGCTATGTAAGAATACACACCTGATGACGGCCATTTAGGGCTGAAACATGTAGTGTGGAAGAGGGAAAGAAAAAAGAACTACAATTAAATTGTTACACTTAAGACGGTGTTTGTCTCATATATATTATTTCCTGGTATTCCTTTTCTTGAAGCAGTGATGCACCTCACCACTCAGGCTTCAAGCTTCGCACTGTAGCACTTTCCGTAGTATGTGTGATGTTCCCAGGATAGCTGTTTTTTGCAGCGAATCTATGGAGTGTTTTCCAGGAATTAGTTCCAAATATTTTCTCAACCCTCTCATAACTGTACCCGTGGCTCCAATAATTACTGGTATCACAAAACATTTCATGTTCCACATTCGCTGAATTTCGATGCTTAAATTTTTATATTTTAATTTCTTCTCTGCTTCTTTTTGTACTACATTTCTGTCTGATGGTACTGATATTATTATTATTATTATTAGAAACCTCAATCAAAACAATTTTGGTTTGGAGCTTCTTTACATTAGAAATGTCACTTTCAAAAGAAATTGACCTACAGTGCCTTCTGCCTCAGAGGAAGAAGCTTTATGAAAATGTGCATTTTGTCACCTGCCAGCACATACTTCCACAGAATTAGATTCTCAAATTATGCAGCAACAAAAACAAAATACAGAAAAAGACAGTGCCAGACTTGAGAATTCAACTTTTCAACATCAAGCAGAACACAGAAATAATTTGTGAGGTAAAAAAGAAAAGTATTATATGGAAAGGTTTCAAACAAATTCTGATATACACAGTACAAACACAAGAATGGGAATAAGAGGGGTTGCAGTAAAATGGTTTCGATCATAAACAGGAACAAAAAGTGGAAATTACATACAGATGTAAAGAAACTAATGAAATCACTATCTATCTATGGCGAAAGAGACCCATAAGACATGGAGTCCCACAAGGTTCTGTTCTCGGACCAGCGTTGTTTTTGCTAGATATCAACGATCCAGAAGCTGGCAATGAACATGGTAGACCAACGTTTTTTTGCTGACAACCCTAGTATCCTTAGAGCAGGAAATACTGCTAATGTTGTTCAAAGGAAAATAAATAAAACAATAAATGCACTGACAGAGTGGTTTGAAAGGAATAGATTAATTATCAATAAAGAAAAAACAATAGCAATATCCTTTCATCAACCTCAAAAAGTGCAAGTCAAATGCCCATCAATAAAGCTCTATGATACAGTCATCAATTATACAGAACATACAAAATTTTTGGGAGTTTGACTGGATAAGAATCAAAGGTGGACTGCACATACTCAACAACTAGCAAATAAATTATGTAAAATATGTTTTCCCTTACGAGTAGTCAAAAGAGTATCAGGGTTAGAGACTGTTCGCACCTTACATCATGCTTATTTTCAAACCTTGTTATTATATAGATCGATATTTTAGGGCAATTGAGGAAATGCAAAATTGATCTTTAGGTTGCAGAAGAGAGCTATTAGAGCTATGATACAAATCCCAAAATCCATTAGTTGTAAACAATATTTTAAATCGTTACATATATTACCTTTACCATGTCTGTATATATATATGAAATTCTAGTTTACATAAAAACCAATTTCAATGTTTTCATAACCAATTCAGGAATACACTCGCACAATACAAGGAGAAAAGAGGACTTGTTCCTAGTGTCATGTAATACGAGTCTATACAAAAACAATTTCAATAATACTCGTTTTGGACTTTGTATGTTAAATCAGTTGCCACAGTATATTAAAGAGATACCAGTACTATACAAGTTTAAAAAGACTTTGAAAACATTCCTACTTGATCACTGTTTCTATAGTATACACGAGTTTCTCTTATTTGGGAGCAAATTCCAGTTCTGATCACTTGTAAACATATATTTCAAGAATAATTAACCTGTAGATTTTAATATTAGTAATGCTATAGGAATGCCTGGGGCAAGCTGTAGCATAGTTGGTTGAGGCACTATGCTACAAGCCGGAAGGTCGCAGGTTCAAGTCCCGATGAGGTCTTTGAATTTTTTCAATTGACCTAATCCTTCCAGCCGCACTACGGCCCAGGGGTCAACTCAGCCTCTAACAGAAATGAGTACCAGGAATTAATTAAATAATTTTCCTGGGGAGTAAAGCACGGCCGGCATGTAAGACTGACAACCTTACCGCCATCTTTGAGCCAATTGTCTAGATAATGTGGGACAATCAATGTCTCACAACCCTATGGGCATTTACGGCCTGTTACAGGAATAGCTTTACTTTTACTTTACTATAGGAATGCCTACTGCCCTATTCTGTATTTTTTCTTACAGGAACAAGATCGAGGATACCAGGGTATTAAACTAATGAATGACAATTATAGCCATATCTCAGATGTACTGCATGTACCGGGATTGTCTACAAATTTGTTGTCTGTAAACTCAATTGTAAATAAGGATACAATTGTGTTATTCACCAAAGACTGTTGCAAGTTATATGATTCTGATGAATTTCAAGTAAGAGGCAAAGTTCTTGCTAAAGCATATCCCGAAAATGGGATTTATTGTTTAAATACCAAAGTTAACATGACCCAATCTGCAAATACAGCAACTAAAGATAAGATTAATACTAAAAGGAAAAATCGCAAATGTGAAAAATCTTGTATTAATACTGTAAAGAATGAACAAGTTGCAAGTACGCAGCAAGTTGACGAGCAACTGTTGTGGCATAGGCGTTTGGGGCATTTAAATAGGGTTAGCATGCGGTTGCTAAAAAAAGGTTTAGCTAGTGGGATTGATTTTCAAGAAGAA